GCTGGGGCAGATGGTGGTGGAGGGGGCTGGGGCCCTGCCAGGAGCCCCGGCCTGGCGCTGAGGCCAGGAGGGATGAGCTGCAGGGGTTTTGCTGGGAGATGCTGCACCAGAAGGTGTTGAAGCTTCTCCACTCCCAAGCAGCATCCAGAGTTGCTTACTCAAGCCTGGCTCTTGGAGCTTCTCCCACCCCCACACCCCTGAGTTCCTTGAACCAGACCTGGGAACATATTTCAATTTCACTTCACTCTTTCAGGGAAGCGTTGGTGGGTTTCAGGTCTCTTTTTGCACCATTTTGACTTAGCCTGGAGCAAGGGAGGAGTCGCAGCCCATTCCCTCACTGCAGTCAGCTGGGAGCGGAGCATAACACAGCTTCTCTGGGAAAGGGGCGAGCCAAATTCATAGGCCTTTTGGCATCCAAACATTTCTTTCAGTGGCCATGTCCTGAGCTGAATGCTTGCGATGAGGCTTTCACTCAGTAAGGATGACACTAGCTCAAGGTTTTCCCTGCTTATCCCCTTCCCTGCCTCCCAGGGGCCATGCTCAGGGCTGCCAGGTTGCACTACGTAATGCCCTCACTTATTTTTTGCCCCAGTTGCTTCTAAAAGGGGATAAAGGATAAATGAATAATCAGCTTGTCTCATTAAGAAGAGAAAAAAAAGTGTTAGTAATCTCTGTGCAGAAGGTGTGAGAAGCCGCTAGTTAAAAAAGTAATGTTCCTCTACTACTTCATTATCGATTTACTTCATCTGAGAACAGCTTTGCTGGAAATAGCCCCGCAGGCTCCTTGCAGAGCTTGGCTGACAGCCTGCTTTACCAGCTCTCTGTGGATCCCATTTAGGATCTGTCTATGCTGCAGCGTTCCTTCCCATGGGCAAAAGCTGAGGGCAGGGTTAAATGCCCAGCAGGCAACATGGGTTGAAGGGCTGGTGCCTCCCCAGGAGAGTAGGTTGGGATCAGAAGGTGGACAGAGCTGGGTGAAGGTGCTGGGCACTTCAAGAGTCAGGGTGCAGGCAGGGCAGTGTAGCTTATGCCGTCGCCTGAGGATGCTCCAAGGGCCATGGAAGCAGGCAGAAATACACGGCTGAGCTTTGCTGGGCAGGTGAGAGCAGGGTAGTGGAGGGGGCTCCTGCCTGAGCCATGGCCATTTGCAGCCCGTTCCCGTCTGTACCTTCCCATGCTCACGGCTCTCATTGTACAGCAGCATCCTCTCTAGCCCAGTCTTGGATGGTCCCGCTGCCAAAGGCTATGTAGAAGATCAAGCCAAACAGGTTGAGGGCTGCAGATATGAAGAAGGCATTCCTCCAGCCAGTCTGGAGATCCTGGGGGGCCAAGAACAGATCATGATGACATCGCCCTTCCTTTTATCTCCATGTAGTGATCACTTAACCACTGCCACCTGGTTCACTGGCATTAAACTCATCTCCGTCCTCTGCTTGCTACTAGTACCAACAACAGAAGAGCTTTGCTCAGCTCATGATGTATGCTAGACCCCCCTCTTGTTGGATATGCATTTCCTGCCTTGGTATTTTTGGAGACATTGTGTGCTGTGCTGAATTCAGGAAGCTTTCCTGCCTGGCACAGAGCTTCCCCCTCACCCCACTCCCCCAACCCTCTCCCCATCTCTCAGTACATCCAGATGGGGCCCATGTGGAGCTCTTCCTGCTTTCTGAGTCATCCTTGTGTCCTGAAAATGATCCAGAGCTCTGGTTTGCCGGGTGCTACATCATGTGTGTTTGTTGGGAGAGGGGGGTGGCTTGGAATCATTTTTGATTCAGTGCAAAGAAAGGAATCCATTTCTAAGAGCAGACCTTTGTTTTCTCTCAGGGATGTGCTTGTGGTTTGTGGCCCCAAATTACCTGGCTGATGAGAAGTCCAACTGCGGTAGGAGCAATAGTTCCTGCGACTATGCCAAAGGTATTTGTGATTCCCAGCAGGAACCCTGCATATCTGGGGAGAGGAAGCGGAGATTTCCTGAGTGAGGCAGGGAGGAAACTGTCACAAAAAGGGAGAGCAGTAGGTGCTGCCAGTCCCTTCCCTCATCTGCCTGTCATGCTGAGCAACACTAGGATCTTCACTGCAAGACTAGGGCAGATTTTAAGCCTTTATTTTACTCTTAAATTACAAAGCCACCAGCTACAGAAGATAAGGGAAGAGAAGGCAGGAGTTGCAGAAGCCTTGGGGGATAGGGAACAGGAAGGACGCAGAGCCAGGGAGGGCACAGAGGTCAGATCCACTTACCTGGGCACTATATCGATGTGGTTAATATTGATGCCTGCCCCTGTCATGCTGATTATTGTCAAGGCCAGTGTTAGAAGGACCACAACAACTGTGGAACTGCAGCCAATGTAAGGCACAGCCACCAGGAAGATGGCTGGGAGCAGCATCCCTTGGGAGGAAAAGTGGAATTGTTTAATAACAGACCACACAAGAGTGTTGGAAAAGCTGGATAGCAGATGAAACCTTGTCCTTACCGAGTGCTGAGAAGAGCTTCCTGACGGCTGCTGTGCCAAGCACTCGCCTGGCCAGGAGGAAATCAGCCACTAGCCCAGCCAGGATGTGTCCCAGCCCATTCCCAACGTAAGGCAGGGAGGAGAGGAGCCCATTCTGCAGAGCAGACAACAAGGCATTGTCATGCCGTGCCAAGCAAGAGCTCCAAGACTGCAGCTCCCTTGGTCCCAGAGCCACTGGTCTTCAGGAAGAGGTGTCCCTGCGGAACCTCCATGTTCCCAGCCTACAGAGGGACCAAGTCCTGTCGCTGTTGCAGGGACCAGCCTCAGCTGCAGGGCAGCACTCACTTCTCTGAGGTCAAAGTGGAGGACGTTGCTCATGAATGTGGGCATGGAAGTCAGCAGCATGTAGAAGAGCCAGTCTGTGCAGAAGCAGGCAATGGTGATTGCCCAAAGAGGCAGTGATTTAGCCATGGCCACAAGTGGGAGGGAGCGGCCATGAGAGCTGCCCTGGAAGGAATAAAACATCAGCCAGTGCCTCCCTGTCTGTCTTACATCCCCTGGGCAGGCTGTCCAGGCTTTCCTTGGCATCTCCACCTGCTGCTGAGAAGACTGAGACTAGCCCTGGCCGCTGCATAAGGAACTCAGCCGAACGGCCTCAGTGCAGTCCCTTTGCCACGGTGTCTGCAGCATGGTCAGTCGTGGTTAAAAGGTTTCTGTGTACCTGGTGAGCCAGCGATGACACGATGTACTCCTGCTCCCTGGCACTAATCCACGGGTGATGTGCAGGGTCCTCGTACACAAGGAGGAACCAGCAGAGGCCCCAGGCACAGCCAACACCACCTGCAAGGGGTGGGACTCTCAGTGCCAGCTCCGCTTACGGCGAGCTGCAGCAGAGCTGAGACCCAGCGGGATGGAGGCTGGTGCTAGCGAAACGGTGAGTGCAGGAAGATGGAAAGGGACAAACTCCCTTGAACCCGTTGCTCACAGTGGAAGGAGCTGGCTTGATGGCATGCAATGTTCAGCAAAGGCACGTTCCCTAATAGTACCCCAGCAAAATGGCTTCATCCTGGCCTGGTGGGTGAGAGGGGAGCCCAGAGCTCTGTGTGGGACAAGTAAGGACAGAGCTGGTCCCGCAGGGCTCTGATGGGGAACCTTTGGGAGCTCTGCGAGCAGGGCTGGAGTAGAGGGACATGATGGGCCATTACTCACCAAAGATGTAAAAGACAAAAGGCCACCCCAGACTCTGGCAGATGATCCCAGCCACAAGAAGAGCAAAGAAAGTCCCAAAAGTGCATCCTAGGGATCAGAAACCAGCACAGTCATTTTAATGGGACTTTGTGTCACCAGCAGCGAGTAGGATAGACCTACAGCCTCCAGCCTGATTTGTGATGGGAAAATGTGGTGGCACAAATGAAGCGCCTGTGCAAACAAGCGCCCTTGTATCCAGGTTTGCTCCCTTCAGTGTCTAGCTTCCCTCTCCCACCTCAAGCCGACCTGATCTGAGGAGACAGAGAAGACACAGGATGGGAGGAGGAGAGGCAGAAAGTCTAAATCCTGCTAACACTTTTTTGCCAAGGTCCCACAGCCTTGAACTTGAGGCTGCTGCAAGGACTGCCTTGGAAAGAAAGGGGTGAGGGGAGGTCCTGCATTTACTGAATCGGTGGTAGGAAAAAGTCCTTGTGTCTTACCAGCATCAGCGATGTTCATGAGCCTGCTGCGTTCCAGTGGAGGGGCCCATTTTGCCCATAGCGTGTACTGAGCTGGAAATATCACTCCCTGCAAAGATAACAGGGACAGTGGAGGGAAGGGACACAGGGAGCGCAGCCAGGGCTAATCAGAGCAGGTTTCGTAGCCTGGCAGCACCTGGAGTCATGACTGACCTCAGCCAAGCCCAGCAGCGCCTGCAGTCCGATGAGGAAGCTTATGCCAAGCTCTGCTGCTTGGGGCACGAGGAGGGTGAGGACGGAGGAGAGCAGAAGCCCGCTGCCCAAGACAGCTTTCCCCCCGAACAGCCCCGAGCAGTACCCGCCCAGCGCCTGCGTGAGGCTGTAGCCATAGAAGAAGGAGCTAAGGACAATTCCTTGAGTCTCAGCACTCCAGTTGTACATGGGGGTCTGGAGGAAAGAAAGCATCTGTCAGACAGAGATCTCTGTTTTCCAGGCACAGACTCGTCCAGAAGGGGAGAAGCAACCAGGAAACGCAGCCCTGAGTACAACAAACTGAGCTCGCTGCTCCTTCACGCTCTTTGTCCTCTGCTGCTTCCAAGCCTGTCCTCATGCAAAACCAAGAGTGGCCTGAGCCTGGAAAGTGGCCTTCAGTTATCTGCATCTGCTTTCCACTTACGTCCTGAGCAAATCCTGGGTAGGAGCTGCGGGGAGCGCTGCCGGACCAGCCGTGGGGATGGCTGCTGTTAGTCATGGCGACGATGGCGATGCTGAGGCTGACCCGGAGCGCGTACGCCATGAAGAGGCAGACGTGCAGGACCAGGGCCAGGCCACAGCGAGTGGAGCAGAGCCCTGTGGAAGAAGAGTGCCCACAAACCAGGGCTGGTCAGAGATGCCATGGGTTAACTCTCACCCTGTCCTACAGATCTGTGTCGCCAGGCATTCACCTTACGACAGTAACAAACAGCTCTTTCCAGGTACCCTCCAGACATTTACCACTGAGCACCTGACCTCCTCCTTTGCAGAGATAGCAGTTCATATCTTCAGAAGAATGGAGGGGCAGGAAGGCAAGGAGACTTGCCCAAGGATGGAGGGGACACGTCAAAGCCTGAGGTCGCTGGCTCCCAGGCCCTGCTGAGGCTGCACTTCAGTTTGCTGCTCCCCAGGGAGCAGATTTACCTGTGTGGGAGGAGGGCTGCTGGGAAAGCAGGGGGGCTTCGTCCTGCTCTGCCTCTGGCTCATCCCCTCCCTGCGTGTTGTCCGCGTGGCTCTGCATCCTTGCCTGCCTGCAATGCTGCTGCCTGCTTCTCCTCAAAATCCAGCCCTGTTGGGAAGCGAATCTCAAATGTCAACAAACATGGGAGCAGCCAGGCAGCGACTCCTGGCATTTCCTCTCGATGCCATTACCGGCACGGCAGGAGCGGAGCAGGCTGATGGTCGCAGACCCCTGTGCTGCCGGCACAAACATTTTAGGAGCACAGTGATTTACAGCAGCCTCGTACCTCCCCGGGACAGCCTCATTTGCACCCGTGGTTCATAACCCTCGACCACAATAGCCTGGCAGGGCACCCCCCCGGGGTGCTCCTGCAGAGCCCCCGGGGGTACCCGCTGCCCTCCCTTGGCTGGGGCAAAGGGAGGCTTCTTCCCTGCCCCACCCCGTCCCCCCAGGGGTAGCTCACGTACAGGGAGAAGGGTCTCCCCCAGCCCAGAGGGGCCCAGCGGGGTCGTGGGTCTCCTGGCTCCGTGTCCCGGGGCGGGGAGCGGGACGCAGCCACGTGTTGTCGCAGGTTTCGC